AATACTGTCTAAACTGCAGACGACTCCTACGCTACCAAAATTTGAATTTATGATCCCTTGTCCTATTGTTTTCACTGATAAACACAAAAAAGTTTGATGGATGTATATTATCAATGCCCTTAATAAACTTAAACACCTCAATCAAATCCCCTCTGACCCTTTTTCTCTCTTAACTACAAACAAACTTGTTACCTTTTACAGGGAGCTCTGAAGTATAGCTGGAAAGGGAAACCTTTTGACTCCATTGGCTCATGTATCTATCATTGTCTTTGAGAATACAGCAAAAGTCGATAATAATTTCAATGTTGATCGAAATTATTTACCAAGTAACATAAGGTTGTATAATTTCACTTTGGAAAAAATCTATATATTTTATTTCTATACTAAAAATAAAACAAAATAAGAGACTTAAACAGAACTTGCAATTTCCCGTGATAAAGCAGAATAATATCAAGTTGCGTTTGTGTTACATGACATTGTTACAATATTATATCAGCAACTTACTGTTATATCTATACAATAAAACTTCACGTATTTGAGGCATTTTCTTTCCATTAGTCAGTTATGAACGACAAGTGCGTCATTGTCTCTATATGAATTAAACTTGCGATCTAGGTTTAGAGAAACGTTAATTTGGGGTTCATATTTATAATCTTCTAAGAACATTACGTTTCTACGAGATTTAAAAAAAAACTCAATTTTCCCCCACAAAATCCACTTTATAGTTCTGCATAATTAGTAAAACTTAAATCATGAAATAATGACAGCATTTAAACAATGATGATTTGGGAGAATGAATCGCAACATGATTTCTAATGTTTCAAACAATCAGTTAAAAACTTTTATATAATCTAATTTTTCTCTTTATAACTTGCTTCATTCTAGGGTAGTGCCAGTGAAAGTACATTACTGGCTTTGATATGTGCTCGAGAAAAAGCCATTTCTTCTTTCCAAGCTATCGACAAGGGCTGGAGTCGGAGTATGATTATGAATAAACTGGTGTACTATGCATCAACAGAGGTATGTTTTTGTTTTTATCACTAGGCTTCAGTTTTATTAACACAGTAGTCAGCAATGCTGTTGTCTGTTTGTTTAAATTTGTTGATATTAACGCTATATCACGAACGATTTTCAGGTCAGCAGTGTGTCCTAGTCCCAAATATATCCATAAAAGCTTAAACTGAACCCCTTTCTGAAAATAAAATACATCACAATATCTGTAGTTTCATGTTTAAGATAATATAATATAATACTTTTGGATTTCCACAAAATCTGAACAAGTTCAGTATCAAAATAACGCTTGATTGCAGGCGTACGTTTCATTACGTTCCTTTTAATTATTAGGCCTTGCATGACCTGGTGGTTAGGACGCTCGACTCACAACTTGCGGGTCGCGGGTTCGAATCTCCAACACCAAACATGCTTACCCTTTCAACCGTGAGAGCGTTATAAAATAACGGTCAATCCCATTATTTGTTGCTAAAAGAGTAGCCCAAGAGTTGGCGGTGTGTATTATTTACTAACTGTCTTCCCTCTAGAAACGGCTAACGCAGATAGTCCTCGTGTAACTTTATGCGAAATTCAAAACAAACCAAATTTTTAATTACTTCCTTATGGGTTTCGAATCAGAGTTGTGTAATGGAGAAATTAAAGCAGAATGTGAGAAAAAACACCAATACCGACAGCCTATCTTGATATTATTCACTATCGTCAGGCCTAGTGAGCCTAATTACTTTGCTAGGTTAGGCGTTTAACAGCACTGCATCACGTTCCTGTTGAAAAATATAATGTGTTAAATATATTTACATACTTGTTAAAAATACAACAACAAAAAATTGCATCAGCTTCGGGTGTTAAAATGAACTGTAAAACTGAACAAGAGGAAACATTTTACAGATAATTAATTACAGTTTCCTTGTAGCTCAGCGTCAAGGGCTTATAACTATAAAATCCAGCGTTTGATTCCCTGCAACAGACAAGGTGCAGATAGCTCAATGTATAGCTCTACGCTAAACATTGCTGTGTTAACTGAAAACAAAATGTTACTGCTATGCTGCCGAAACTGCGTCATACGTTCATAGAACATCCTTTTGATTTTGGTCAAAACTGATTTCATGGTAATAATGATCCCTTATTTTTTATTTATTTTTTTTGTTCATATCCCAAATTGTTTCCAATAAACTGTGATTATGATAAATAATAAAATACAATATTTCTGTTTTCTACGTTATATACATATTTTTCTTTGTACAGGCTCATTCTTCTGTGGAAAAAGCTGGATTACTTAGTGGGCTGACATGTCATTTACTTCCAACAGATGCCGCCTTCAGCCTTGAAGGAGACGTGCTCCAGGCTGCTATTGACAAAGATCGAACCCAAGGAAAGATCCCATTTTTTGTACGTTTTTTATTTGTTTTTTTTATATTAACAGAGTAATAAATAAACATAAATTACAGCTTTAAATATCTCTTTATATTTATTAGCTTTATCACGCAATTATAACTGTTTAAATGATTATATAGTTATTTTGAATCAATAATAGATCTATTTGGAAATATCCTTAGTGTAAAAACTAATAATACGATGTGATTCCGTCACTGTCGCTTTTCCCGCCTCCTTTTTAGAACAATATTGCTTAAACATTAGATTTAAATACAAATATTAAACCTGAGGTGCAACATCAGTACGGGACCTCGGTTTTCAAACATCATTTTCGAATTATGGTGAAGCTGTTTGTTTCTTAGCTTTGTAAAGTAAATCGAAGTACCTCCTCAAACTAGTTTAATTAATATAACCTCAGTTATATTGTAAGAAGCATAAATGAAACGTTCACGATTAACGTTACTGTAGCCGCAAAACAATCTTTTCAAAAACATATAGAACACTATGGTGGAGCACCTGTCTTGGATATATTACAGACAAGCTTTTCGTCGTAAGCCATATAAACTTTACTTTGAAATATGCTTTATGCTATATTATGTTTTGGGCTTCTGTTTTCTGGTTTTTATTTTTTGCTGTTTTATTTAGCAATCTTGAAATCGATATTTTTCGTGGTTTTCATTTTTAGTTTTGTGTAGATACTTTGAAATCACTGTTTTTCAGTTTTTGCTTTTAATACAGTAATGAGTATACTAATATACTGTATATTCTCTGCACACATTGATTTCTCTTATGGGAGTAATAACATGTACAAAGCCTAGTTAAAGCCATAGATATAAATAACACTAGATTGGCCAGTCACTACTCTTTACCATTGAGGGGCATTGTGCGCATGCTACCGCCATTGCTTTGTGTTGAATTTGAACTGGCAGACAATGTAAAATGGCTGAGAGTGACAGTCGTCCGTGTAAGTCACGACCCGAAAGAACGAAGGGAACACAATGCTATGTCATTAACTGTTACACATACTGTAATTAAGGGTCAAAGGTGGAGGATATTACTTTACACAAGTGAGTAAAACCTTTTTTTTTTTTCAAGTTATATGGGCGACATCACCGTGGACATGGTAGCGACATCGAACTGGAGTGGATGTTGAATAAGTAGAGTTGTTTAAACATTTGTTTAACAACAAGTAAAAGCTTGGAATGGTCTATTCTTTCATTGGGGTGTGTGTTTGTGAACCAGACTAGTTTCGGAGAATTCCACTCCTCATCAATGACCCTGGACCCTACCACCAATGAAATATCAAACCAAACCAAGCCTTTATAGTAGTGAGGTATCGAAAATCGAACTGGTGTATTTAAGTGTTTTACATTCACAAAAAAGAAATCTATCATTCTATAGGTATTTGAAGAACTTGTAGCATTCCGCCACATCTGGTTTCAAAGTATATATGTGAGTCTTTTTCTTCTTTTTTGGAAGGCATTTCACCTATACAAGTCGGCATGACAGTTTGACAACTTTTGATTTGAAATGCTGACAATATTAAGTACTCATATAAGCTCAGATAATCATCCACCACATTCTAATGTCGTTTGCTGACCAGTTAGGCTATATAGAGACGCCGCTTAAACATACACTAACTACAGATACAAGTTATGTGTACATTCACTTTTGATGCTGTCAATGAGTGTCAAGTTAGAAGTTGGTTATGGTTTAAGAAAAGTCTGGTCTAATCAGTAACGTCATGGCTTATCCGGTATAATATTGAAACATAGGCCTAATAGTAACACTGTCAATAGACTCATTCTCAGGACTACATGAGATTAAAATTTTGCAGGTGGCCCCCTTCCAGTCCAACATCCTTCAGCTGCCAGTGTCATTATAATAAATAATCAGTATGCAGTGCAAGTGGCCTAAAATATTTTGTATTGGTTGAACAAATAAAAAACAAAAAATATACATTAACGTGACTGTGATATATATATATATAAGGGAGTGCTTATAACGGAGTGAGCCTAATTTTATTACAGTATATATGTACATGCCTTTTTATGTTGTTACATTTAATTTTAATGTATGTGTAAAATATCAGCTAAGTGTATTAGATGTATAAATATATTGCACATTGGCGATTGTGTATGTTTACATGAAAACAAAGTACTGCTGAAATGATTCTCACGTGAAATAGGAGAATTTGGTTAGCATATAATTATGAATTGTACATTTAAAGGTGAAAACTGTGGACTATGCTATAGATAAATATATTCCTGCAATGTTCTTGAAACTAATCCACTGCAGTGTACTGTACTCTGTTGAAAAAGTCAGGCCTATGTCCCTGGTATTTCTCTACTTAATCATGTTTGTAACATTTGTGAAATTACCCAAATAGCCTTTTTCCGAAGAAAAAATATATTTTAGGTATTGAGGAAAGATTGAATTTGTATTTTAATCTTTTGATTTGTTATTATAAATGCTGGTAGACTAAAATTATTGCACAATTGTAAAGTTAAAAAGGACCATTATGCACTGTACTGAAGTGTCCATGATGGGAAAATGTACTGGTCATGAAAATTTAGGTGTGTGCATGGTAAAATAAGATGAACAGGTACTTACCACAAATATTGGACATATATTATGGTATGCAGATTAAACAACGCAAGACTAATGAAATAGTGATGAAAAGTGACACGTCTCATTTGTTTTTAATTATTTAAGTATATACCCATAAATTTGACCTACTTAAAACTTACACTCTTATTTGCACTTGAAAGTTTATATAATTTGTAATTTCATAACTTGTCATATTTTTCTGAAGTCAACATCAGTTAAACAAATCGGATCAAATGTAAACACTGTTTTCATGCTTTAATCTGCACATGTCTTGTACTACACCGATAATATATGATTTTCATGTAAAATAAAATATTTTGCATTATTAAGTAACCTGACTTTGTTATGTCGACATTCAAAGGTGAATCCCACTAAGGGGGAATGATATTTTTGTCTTAATGGCAGGGTGATC